AGCTGGACCCCCCTTATTTTCCCAGGCAATACTTCTTTCTCCTGTCACTGTAATTCTTCAGGAGCAATGGGGAAAACCACAGTCACAGACTACACAAACCAGGAGCAAGGTATTGTATTACTGTAATGGAAGATAAGGTCACTCCAGAGCTAAGCCATTCCCAGGAATAATTCATATAAGGAGGTTTGCACACCACTTTAGTAAGAGCAAGAGAGCAGGTATTTATTATACGATGGCGATCAGCTTCTTTTCCCTGCAACAAAGATAAATTTGCCATCATTTCCAAAAGACATTGACCCAAGTGATGTACTTCCCCAACCATTTTCATTGCCAAACCAAGAAGTTAGGAGCAGCCAACTCCACCAGCACACACTGCCCAAGCCACAAAACAGAGGCAGGCATCCTTTCCAAAGCTGAAGTCAAGTGCAACCAAAGCAAACAAGTCTAATCACATCAACAAAGTCATCCGTTAATGAAAACACATCCCACAAATGATTAAGTTATTAAGTGCTAGTCTATTCCAAACACCTCAGAAGAAAACTCATGCAATCTGTAACACTTACATCAGAGTCCCATAATATTTACATAGAGAAAAGGAAAGAATAAACTGTTAGGAAAAAATATTTGGGTGTAGAGGGGGAAGGAACATTGTTTTAGAGCACAGAAATCTTCATCTTCACTTTCACAGTATCTGTGGTTTGACTGGAGTTTATTAAAAACAATGAATGCTTTAACTTTCTGTTGCTAAAATGCAAATGTACTTAAAGAACCTACTGATTTTCTATGAAGATTTTTCCTTCTCTGAAATAACCAAAATAACTATGAAAGTATTTTTAAATACCCAGACAAAATCCCAAATTGCCATTCACAGGTAGTGTTGCAAAGTGATTGTCCTGGTTTCAGCTGGGACAGAGTTAATTTTCTTCCTAGTAGCTGGCATAGTGCTGTGTTTTGGATTTAGTGCTAGGAGAATGCTGATAACACCCTGATGGTTTAGTTGTTGCTGAGCAGGGCTTAACACCAGCCAAGAACTTTTCAGCTTCCCCTGCTCTGCCAGGGCACAAGGAGCTGGGAGGGGGCACAGCCAGGCCAGCTGACCCCAACTGACCCAAGGGCTATTCCAAACCATAGGATGTCATGCTCAGTATAGAAACTGGGGGGAGTTGGCTGGGGGGCAGCACTGCTTGGGGATGGGCTGGGCATTGGTTAGCAGGTGGTGAGCATTTACACTGGGCATCACTTGCTTTGTATATTCTTTTACCATTATTATTATCATCATTAACCTCTGCTGTTTTATTAAACTGTCTTTATCTCAACCCACAGATTTTACTTTTTTCCAATTCTCTCCCCATCCCACTGGGTGTGGTGTTCAGCTGCCTGACAGGTTAAAGCACAACAGTGATGCAAGTCATCCCGGGAAGTTTTAAGGAACAAAATGCCTACGGCAACAGAAAGTTGTTTGTTCTTTAAGCTCAATGAGAGAAAAGTTCAAAAAAAAGAATCTGTAAATCCCCAGCACAAGAGTTGGAAGGAAAACTGGCTAAGAAGAAAAATGAAACCACCTACACCATGCAATTGAATTCGTTCAGAGATATACGAACAGCCCCTTTGATGCAAAGTCAGTTAGTTTTTTAAGAGTACTTTTCACTGTAACAATCTCATGTGCAATTTGTAGCATACCACAAAGAAGGGGTTGGATACATATAATATACCAATAAGGTGATTTGTTTAAAACACAATTAAGTGAATTTCCCATTAAGGTCCTTGCTGAGCTGTACTGCTTGATTGTGTGTGATCTGTCACCTTGTCTTCAGAGCTACAACTGCATGTGGGAAGAGATCCAACATTAGTTTATCAAAAAACTCCAGGAGCTGGCTTTATGCTGCAACACCTTGTGGGTGGCTGACCGAACATGTTGGCTAGGCTGACTATCAGTCACTGCTGAGCTGTAGTTTTTAAGGTGACACATTACTGTATCAGTTGCCACTATGGAGCACAACCCTACAGTGCACACTCAAACAGTCCCGTTCCTCACTAATGTCCTTGCATGTTTCTTACATTGCCTAAGGCTTCTGATCACCTTTTTAGTACATGCAGCCACAACAGTTCTCCTGATATACAGCTGATTCTTCAATATCTGATATATATAGAGAGAGTATATTTATTCTCTGCAAGGATTAAAATTGTTCCTCCATTTCAACCATGCCACAGCACCTAAGAGACGTTAGTTGAGAGAATACCACCAAACATAGTATTTGTTACTTCTTAAATGCCAGTTCCAAGCAAGCTTGTTTAATGCATTTAAGCATTTACCAGGCACTGCCAAAAGACAAACAGATATCCCCGGAGACTTTCACTCTGCCCTTCCTGAAAGGGGAAAAAGAGCTTTTATGTAATTGTACCTTGTTCTTTAATGCTGCAGCCTGACTTTCCACAGGCCATGAACATAGAAGCCATAAATCAGAAAGTTGGGTAAAGGCCTGGAAGGAGTTTCGCCAGCAAAGGCCTGCCACTGAACAAAAGCAAGAAGAGCTGACACAGAAGCTGTCAAGAAGATGCGCTGGAGTATGTACAGTGGGACACGCTTATATTTAGTGAAGCTGCCCAGAGCAAAGGAGCATGAATGTCCTGAATTGTGTCAACGCTTTGTCATGTGAGGCCAGCTGGAGTGAGCCAACTGGGCAGGGAAGAGCTCTTCTGCAAAGCAAACAGCTTCAGCAGCAGAGGAGCTCATCGCCGCTGACAGTGATGGATCTGCTCCTCTACAGGGTGAGCTCACGCTGCACTCTGCCTGGCCTTCAGTCTCTGCATAAATGCGCACTTCGTGGCACCTGCAGACTATATACTCACGAAACCACCACGTTTTGGCCCATTTTTATCTTGTCCAGTGCTTCTCTCAGGGTATCATCTAGGGAGCAGGATGGGCACACTTTTGCTCCCACCACCCTGTGCTCTCCCCTGAGAGCTGTGGGGGTTTCTGTAAGTCAGCCAGCGAGAGAAATTGAGTTTCACCCGTAAGAGCATTTCACCTGCAACAGCTCCTGGCAAAAAGGCAGCATCCTGGCTCTAAACCAGCCTTTAATACTCCTGCTTGAGGTAAGGCTTGACTATCTGCCCACTTAGATTAAAAACCCTTTGGCAATGAGTACTGTTAATGATTGTACTCTGAAACTGGCCACACAAAAGTCTGCACCAAGGAAAGATGAGTGCCAATAGTTTAGGACAACTTAGTCCTAGCTAAACAAACTTAGCTTCTTTCTTCCCCCTGCTTTTTGTGGCATTGAGAAAACGCGTTCACATTACGTAGTCAGCTCTCCAAGCTACCAAAGCTGCACTTACAAAGGAGCATTTTAAACGGCAGGCCGTTGTCTGAGAGTGCATTAATGCATCTATTGCCTTGGAGACAGAGAAAGGGCAGCCTGTGGAGACAGAATGAACCCTCTATGAGATAGAGCCTCAGCATATCCCTATTGATATGGTCCAAGGGACTGGATTATGTCGGGGGGGGGGGGGGGGGAAGAGAAAACCAAGCCAATCCAAAAGACAGGGCATGCAATTTAAATGAGATCAACATGACTTTGGGCCCAATTTGTAAACATATTGGACTGATTACTGCTTTAGCATCATTAAGTGACTTTCCTAAGATTAAACTCATGACTATTAAGCACTTAAGGATTCAGTGATTCTTTTTATAAATAACACTTTGAAGTCAAATCCATAAAATCGGTTTAGGCTAAAATTAGAAGGGTGCTAATAAAATGCACTGTGGATCCAAGCGTTTCATGATTGCTTAAACAGACACCACCTTAACCAGGCTTCATTCTCCTGCACAGTGGCACACTCACCCCAAATAGGCTATCACAAAAAGCCAAAAAAGGACAACAGGGAGGGTGACAAACCAAATATGAGGGTTGGTTTGCCACCGATGCAATGTGCAAGGAGACAGTGTCAGGCTGGGATCACCATCCTCCAGAGATAAACGCTGCACAGGGCTACGTGGCACATCAGGTGCAAGGCAGTGGGACTGCACACCGTAGTACTGTGGAAGTGCCACGAGCCAGTGGCGATGGCTGCAGCACGGTGGCAGCACTGTGATCCTTCAGTCCCTCTGCTGCCATCCCCAGGTTGATTACAGCGTGCAAAATAAACAAAAAGCACATGAGATGAGACATAAAGGAGTTACAAAGGTCTTTGCTTCCACCAACATGAGTCTGGATTTCTTCTTTCTCCCTAGACAAGCTGTTTGGCAGCCCCATCCTCCAGCATACCCAAATTAAAGGCCTCCCCCCTCCCTTCATCTGCCACTAGGACAAAATGCACAAGTGATATGGCTCAGCTCTTAGCAACCAAGCTAACTGGTGCAGCGTTGAAAAGACCACCGTCAGCTAAAACATTCACTACACTCCTAAGTTTGTAAACACATGCAACACTGGGGACAGTGGGACATTTTTCAAAAATGGCTCTAGCACAGACTGAAGCAGGGAGAGTCTGTTCAACCCTATTTCATTGCACCAGGGTCTGCTGCTGGGCTTTGTCATTTACCCTGCTCATCCCAAACACAAGCGTCCACTCCAATAACAGAGAAACACATGGCAGTCCTTAGGGAACAGAGCAACAACAGGGCTGGGACTGAGGAAGGTTTGCTCTTGCTGTTTTCCCTGTGATTTTACGCTAGTGCTGGGGGATACGGGGCAGGAGTTACAGGAGTGCAGCAAGAACAGCGGTACATCCTCTAGAACAGAAAGGACTGAGATTTTTCTCCAGAGAAAGACTCCCCAGCCTTGGGTAACACAGGTCAGTAAGGTGAGAAGCACCGCAATGCTTGCCGTCAGCACACACAGAGCTCACAAACTCACCCACAGCCTGGCCTTCCCCTGGTTTGTTCCCCTGGTGTTAGGAAACCCAGTGAGTATGAGCAGCAGGAGCAAGCCAGGCTGGGGAATACAGCCATGCCCAAAAGGGATGCGTGGGTATCGGGGCGCAGGAAATCCAGCACTCACCTCTGAGGAGTCGGCATACTGAGCAACACGTGCACACTGAAAGAGGAGCTGAGCGTTAGGAACTCACCAGGCTAAGCTATCTCTCAGAAAACACTTGGTATCATCCTGAGGTGGACTTCACAGCCCCCATGTGCATTAAGAGACGGTCGCCTCTATTCACCAGTACAGAGAACAGACTCAGGAACGTGCCTCACCCCAGGCTATGTGCCTAAAGGGTGTTAAAGCTGGGATTACATACAGCTCCCTGGCTCTGTTCTCAGATCACTAAACAGAAATAACTCCTGACTAGAGGGGCCTGGGAGCATGGATAAGCAATGGGTGACACAGTGCAAAAGGCTGTATGATAATAAACACTTGAATGGGACTTGTATTGCTACATGCCTGGATTTTTTTTAGTAGATTTAGACTTCTACTAGCACTGGTGCAGCCATTCATGCAGCTTCTGCAGGAAAACTATCCACAGATCCCTGAGCTTGCTAATTCGGCAATGCACCAAGGAGTCCTGCAGCAATTATATTTTGGTGGAATTGTCGTAGGAATGAAAGCAACCAAGGGAATTGCATTGCACCCTGCAGAGCAAATGCAGGTGAGTCACAGCTGTTCATAAAAGTGTGACCTTTACAGCTTCATCTTGTGGATAGCTTATGTTCCAGGAAACAGCCTAGAAATCATTTCCAGTTTGAGCCTTCCAACTTAATCCTCACAGTGGCATCAATGACTCCAGATAAAAAAAGCTTTTGGAGAAAAAAAAAAGTTAGAGCTTTGTGTGATTTCTTTGGTCATGATTATCCTGCACTGTAGACACTGAAAGTTCTTCCATAGTCTCATAGTCATTTTAAACCAGCATAAACCAGTGCTGCTGCTGAAAGGAGCCGTCCCATTGCCCCTCACGCTCTGGCCTCCACCTTCCTTCTCCTATTGCTGATGTCTGCATTGCTGCTCTCTACTGGCTTCAGGATCTGACCTAGGTCAAGAGCAACCTGGAAGCAAGGAACAGCATTTAACTTGAAACAGCTCCCTGGCTGGGGTCAGCATATCTAAATAAGATTTAAACATGTCCAAAGTAAAGGACGGTGCAGGGCAGAAGCAAGCAGCTGGGTCATACCCTTTCAATGGTGTTGGCTCACACTGGCTGGATGCTGCCATGAAACTATGGCCTTTGTATAAAAGAGTTGACTCTCAACCAACCTTAAGTTATCTGCTGTGGGTTTAGCCTCTGGTTTTATGCAGGAGGTAGCTGATCACAGTTTTATGAAGGTTTATTCTCCAAGAGCTTATACAACATATACACATGGATTGTTCTCACACATCTTTCTGGAGTTTTTCTGGTTGGTAGGGACTGAACTATCCAGACATATCCTGAATGCTGATATTCGCCCACCTTTGTTCTGTCCTGCAAAGCCTTCAGTGCTTAAGTGCAAAACAGAAACAGCCTTGACTCTCTCCTGCGTAGAGGGGTGGAGAGCATCACAAAGCATATTGCACATTTCTGCTTTGCAATCATTCCAGCTGAGAATGATCTCTGCCCGGGGTAAGCTTCAGCAGAAAGGGCACTCGGTCTGGGCAATACAGAGGGTGGCTCCGGTGTACACGATCCTCTGGCCCAGGCAGCATCAGCTCTGGACACTGACTGTCCCGTGATGCAATGCAAACCTGCTGCTGCTGAAACATGTCCCACCGACTCAACCAAAAGCAAGGCTGGCCTCCAGTGCCCAGCCCACACTGGAGGTTGCCACTGACATCAGCAACGTGAGACATGTTTGCATCAGCTATGGGATTGAGCTATGTGACACAGTGGCCAACATCCCACTCCTCAAGTCATGTGTCACTCACCAGCCATCGCAAGGGAACCAGTGTTATCTGCACTGTCCAGGATACTTTTAAGGCAACAGTGTTAGGTTAAGAAGTGCAAAAGCCCCCCACTGTTAATAAAGATACATCTCTATGTGGATTGTTACTGGACATTTGCCAGAACAGGACTGCCTTGAAAAATATTTGGAAATGTTGTTCTGGAGCTTTCAGCTTTCCATAACGATGAGTGGCCACATGACATTTACAGTTCCCAAAAGAAAGGGGCAGTTCTGACTGTGGATGAAGCACAGGTTGGAACATGCACTGAAGCTAAAATATCACAGGCTATCATCAGGGTGCCAGGATACTAAATTGAGAAATGCTGAACTAAGAGCAAAGTGAAAGATCAGCTGAAGAGAAGAGGCAGTGGGCCTGCTACGTGGAAGAAGGGCAATCATCATGTTTCCTCGGGGTTTGTCAAAGGGAGGTGTGCGCATGGCGATGGAAGGAAGGAGCAGTGGCGATGCCTCGTGTAATGTGCTGGGGGGGGGTAGGGACATCAGCAGCCACGCACAAATCATGGCAAAAGCAGCCTTTGCCCCTTCATGTCACCTGCGTGTGGCTTTTGACCAGGTGTGAGAAGGAGGAGAAGGGTCTTTCTGTGGGATGGGTGTGAATACACCTGGAGCACGTGAAGCCCGCTGCGCGCTGAGCAGTCCCGTCCTGCTCATGCGGATGGCCTTCCGCAGGCACTGCTTAATGTATAGCAGGCAGCACTTAAAGGCAGCAAAGACAGCAAAAGGTAGAGGGGAAAAAAAAAAAAAAGAGCAGCAAAACATAGAGGAAAAGAAGGAGTAATTCTCCTTGTCTCAAAGGCAGCTCTTGCATATTTTATTCTTGGCCTCATAAGACACTCTTCAGCAAGCAAAAATAAACCTTTGTGTGTCTGCATGTTGTCATTACTAACTAAATGCCAAGCTCTTCACATGGTGCTTTGTGTCAAGAGGGGATTCAGGGAGTCACAAATCCATCTAACCAGCACCAGCCACATTATAAAAACAACAACAATGGAAATCATAGAATCATTATAGAATCATTTGTTTGGAAAAGACCTTTAAGATCACTGAGTCCAACCGTTAACCTAACCCTGCCATCCACCACTAAACCCCATCCCTAAGCACCTCGTCTGCCCGGCTTTTAAATACCCCCAGGGATGGGGACTCGACCACTTCCCTGGGCAGCCCCTTCCAGTGCTTGACAACCCTTTCAGTGAAGAAATTTTTCCTAATATCCAACCTAAGCCTCCCCTGGCACAACTTGGGGCCATTTCCTCTCATCCTATTGCTTGTCATTTGGGAGAAGAGACCAATCCCCACCTCACTACCCTCTCCTGTCAGGCAGTTGTGGGGAACTATAAGGGCTCCCCTCAGCCTCCTCTTCTCCAGACTGAACACCCCCAGCTCCCCCAGCCGCTCCCCAGCAGCCTTCGGCTCCAGACCCCTCACCAGATTTGTTGCCCGTCTCTGGACATGCTCCATCCCCTCAGTGCCCTTCTGGGAGTGAGGGGCCCAAAACAACGAACACAGCATTCACCAGTGCCCAGGACAGGGGAAGAGACATTTCTGTTGTCCAGAAACTTCTCAGAGGTAAGACAGAGCAAGACAGAGCACCGTTACCACAAAGAGAAACCTTCTTGCAAAACTAGGATCAATCCACAGACAGGACTTTTCCACAGGCATTTTACACATTATAATTAATCACTGAAGTAAGGTGTACAGGAAAGCCACATAAGAAATCTTCTAAAGTATTGACGTTAAAATACACAAGCATCTTCTACCACATACGGCTTTCAGGACCTGGGCATGGGAAGTACAATTCGTTCCGCTTTACAGACACACTGAGGAACAAAGGTACGCTCCAGGTCATATCAGTATTTTGCAATAACATAGGGTGTGAATTCATGTGTCCTAACTCACAGTCTGGCCTCCTAACCACCACACTGCTTCTTCTGCAGACACAGGACCCGTTCCTTCAAGCATTCCCTAAAAGTCTCCATAAAGGAGGATTTCTACTCAGACCAAAGGTACAATGTTTGCAGCCCCAGCCAGGCTCTCTATTAATGTTCTTAAAGTTGTTTTGTGTATCCCAGCTACTGCTACTGCTGTCAGGCTTTCTCAAGAAAGGTGAGGTCTTCGGCTGAGTCATCCTCATGTCAAACAGACAGTCTGGGGTATTTTTGCTGACTCCCTCTGATGTCAGACTAAGTCCCATTATCTCTAAAACAAGAATACAAAGAGAAGTCTAATGTTTCTGTGAGACAGTGGGGACTGCTCACATGGACATTTGCGTTATCTAAGGGCTTTGGGATAGGAAAAAGAGCTGTGTGTCAGCTGTTCTGTAGACATTGCTCATGCACATACTCATATATGTATGTATCACATGTATATATAGCATACTAACAGGCAGTAGCAAATTCTATCTGCCCCTTGTGCAACAGTCCAACCAAACAAATGTGGAAGGTGGAGCGATGGGACCATGTCTGGGCTTGGTGTGCCTGGAACAGTGTCATCTCACCCTGAATATGGCCCTCAGGATATGATACAGTCCAGCTGATCAATCACAGTCTTCCATACACATACACATGCACACATATGGTAGTTACAACTGAACAATTCGCCCCTCTAGATGTTCTCACTACATAAAAGATTGTGCCCGCACAAAACAGCGCAAGGACTGGAGAGACCAGGACCACTTCTTTCACTTAACTTGATAGAGAGTGAGAGGAAAACTGTGGCCACAGGCTTCCACACAGCATGATGCCACTGCCTGTGAGTGAAATCCCCCTCTGGAGGTGCCTCTGTATTGTCTGTGGGTGGAACAGGGACCTGCAAGCAGGTTTCTAGGTTAGGAACCTGAATTAAATCACTAAGTGTGATGGGACAGATAAATGTCTTGGAAGATTTTGCAAATTTGTGTTGTTTTCATTAAAAGAATTAAACATAAAATCTCAAATTACACGGATCAAAAATTTGTGATAAACACTAGGCTCAGTCTGAAAAGTTTATGAACTATTCAATTTTCCAGAGATTCATTTTGAGATATCCTTGTACAGTACTGATACGAAACCAGATCAAAATCAAAAATTTATGTGTTAAGACAGGGGTTTGTGGCCAGGTGAGCTGAGTTCGCTGCCTTAAGAACAAAACTACAAAGGCTGCTCTACACAATGTGGAATTAAGATAACCAAATTCTGCTTCATTTGTGGCAGTTGTTATTTTGGTCTAAATGATACGTGATTTCTTTTGGGTGGGGGGAGTTTTATATTCTCTGTGTGAACACTTTGCTTTCAGATGGATTACTTCAAGAGAAGTGTATACAAGGTCTTACATAAACCTCAGAATAAAACGACTGTGCACCAACATTAGCTATTTCAGTTTACCTGTAGAGAGAATTTATTCAACAGATGATGTTAAAAAAGTAAACAGAGAAGCCTGTGACCTATAATTTTCAGAATTTGTAAAGGGATTGAAGGATACTCTTTAGGATGGACAAGACAAGGCATTTCTAATACATTCCAAAACTAAAGCAAACTAGAAGGGGTAGCAATCTACACAGGCTTGAAACACAGTGAGTGTCTGCACAGACTTCAACACGCACACACAAGCTGAAACTGCTAAATTTCAAACCTGCCAGCATATGTTTACAAGCTACCAAGTGCAACGCGCCTGCAACTTTCTGTTGCTTCTTGTCACAGCAGTCGAGTTCCATGACCTTTGGTGGTGTCTGGGAATCCCAGAAGCCATCTGGAACCCCCTGCTTGGGATAGCCCTCCATGTCTCAATTTTTGAGATCTAAGCTGCACAGCTATCTCCAATTAAATACTTTGGATCTGGGCTCACAAAGATTTCTTTAACCAAGCCTGAAATAAATTTTTGTAACTAAATCCTTATCTTATTCTCACCATGATATTTCTTCCCTTTGTTCTTTCAGAATTTGAAAACAAACCATTGCCCTTCAGAGACACTTGTTTTCCTTAACAGTGCTTATGCAGACATACTTTGTATGATAAACAGCTGTTAGATCTTGGTCTCTGCTTCCAGGAGTGCTTTATATGGGTTTTATTTCTCAGTAGGCTTTATCAGTGATAGTTCTGGAACTACAACTGTCAAGTGTTGCAACAGCTACTGTACAGTTTAGAAGTAGCACAAGTGGTCCTAATTCAAACCAGGTACCCATTAGAACTCGCATTTATGTTTAGATGACATAAGAGAGAGAAGCTGTATCACCATATGGGGGCTTTGATGATAATAATGACCCTTGCCTGCTACTGTGCATTCTTATCCCCCTTCTTGCACTTCCATTAGCCCCTCTCGCTGGAAACCCACCACAGCTTGCAGCCAGCCCAGAGCCTAACTTTTCAGCTCAAGTTGCAAGGACTGGCTGCAAGTTGCCAGTTCCCTTGCATGCTCAGGTCCAGTCCTTGCTACCAGCCAGGAATAGTAACCATCAAATGATGATACTGTTTTCTCTGTTAAGTGCCAAGAGACTCAACAGCGTGTCTGTGTCCTCTGAATTCTGGTATGTGCTGCCTGCAATGTCTGTTTCTATATATTCCCGCCAACACCATGACTTCACTCAGCTGGGTGATATTCCAGACAACACAACACTGAAAATAACACTGGCACTTACCTGAGCTGCCAGTGCCTTCCGATGCACTTCTGGATGTTTTTGGCTGGCTCTGTTTGCTACTTGTTCGTACAGTGACCGAAGGAGGAACAGTGCTGCTGCTGTCTCCACGAATTGTCGAGAGATCCTGCATGCTAAAGCTCCTTAGTCTCTCAGACAGGGCCCCCTGTCCCTAGTTAAACAAGCAAGCAAATAACACACATAAAAGTTAGATTCCACAGTGCATTTTAAGCCTTTCTCCTCTCAAGCTCATTGAAATCCATCAGGGCAATAGAAAGAGAAAAAATTGCTTGGTCCAGTAACCTAGAGAGGACAAAAATGAGTCATTAAAAGCATCATTTCCCTCTCTTTTGGAGTGGTTCTATGCACAAAGTCATTCAAACTTTTGATGGTGAGCATCTCTGATTATTCAGTGCAGTCATTTGAGCTCAGAGAACCCTTGGCCACACCTAAAGGAGCAGGATGTTGCATCCTTCTAGTAGGTACTTTTCTTCACTAGGAACCGAGTCAAATAGGTGCTTGGCTTCAGAAACGCTATTAAATAGTCTGCATCAAAGTAACTCCCTTTTAAAGTTAATCAACTACAATGATATTGAACTACCCATTCTCAGTAATACACAGAATTTCCAGAGCACAGAAAATTTGAAATTTTGAAGTAATACAAAGTTAAATGCAAAGAAATATTCCAGTGCTTTTTTTTCATGCAGCTTAAGGAAGAAATAAACTAACAAAACATTCTTCTTTCTTTTTAGACTAGGTCTCAATCAGGCAACGAACATATTCCATGGTGAAAGGCATGTAGCTCTTCTTTATAAAGGACGGGCTGGTTAAAAGACACCTTTCATTAGAACTACATCCCATCAATAAGCTGACTATAAGTATACCTCTTTCTGAATTCTGTAACTCTCATACTGCACCACTACCATAAAGTAAGAATGACAGAAAATACAATCAATACAAAACCTATTTGTTCTTCTCTGTTGGCTACGTTAAGTGACATTCAGAATATAAATAGCAGAACTGATTAAAAGTACACTTGGGTTTTACCAATTTGTTGAGGGTGGGAGGGTCTGAAAGCTACTTCATAGCATATAGTCTTGAAAAAAAATACTGAAATAAATACATAAAGCCTGATTCTAAAATTATTTCTGCTAGTGTAAATTAGGAAAAAGTCAATGGGTGCTTTGACTGAGGTGAAACCAGAAAGATGGCAAACAACAGTAAATATTGCCCTGTTTAACAAAACAGATGAGGCACGTCGTAGCACTTCACACACCACCTTCACTTAGGCTTGTATTTGTCAAAGCAGTACACAGGTGGAAGCATAGCCTGAACACTGCCAGAGGGGCTCTAGGTTGGGGCTGGACCAGGATACATCACTGCTCCCTTCTGGGCTGCAGATTTGAGTACCCTGCCCACAAAACCAGGGTACTGGTGAGGGGCCAGCGGAGATTATGCTCTGGTGCTAGCCTGGCATGGAGAAGGGACTCATCCTGACCACCTATGATCAAAGGCAAGACTGGACACATTCCTTGCTAAAGCAGTCAGGCAACACTGTGTCCCCTAGTGGCACTGATACATTGGGAAGGCAATGCATTAATTTACCTACAGGTACCAATTTACCAACATCATTTCAGAAATTTCACATGCAGAGTAATGGAAAATCAGTGCCTCTACCCCATATAAATTCCTTAGTACCTTACTTTTAGGGGCTGTAAGTATACAAGGCATCAGGTGCTTTTAACTACAGTCACTGTGACAGCTTGCACTTTCCACATTCAAGAAAACTGCTAGATCAGTAATCTTCCAACTTTCCAGCCTGAATTTTTTCATATAAGAAAAAATCCTTCAAGGGTTCAAACTTCTTTCTCAACTCCATAGCATATCAACTTAACTAAGCCAGGATATACATCCTGGACTACAGCCCTTTTCTGCATCGGCAAGAAACAAGCAGCACAAGGTGATAACTTCTTCAATGCTGTCCCAAAGCATCATCAGTAGAAATACACATCATCTAAGAAAAATTAAATTGAACTGTCCTTTACAGGGCAGAGTCACCTGGTGGAGCTAGCCAGGAAGCTGCACTGGGAATTTTCTCTTATTTTACTGAATCTTTGGTTTCTTAAGATCTCTCTATGTGTTTGGCAGCATTTTGCATTTAGCTTTTCTGCAGGCTATTACAGAGAAGTTTCCACACAACCACCATGCTCTTCCTGCACACTTACTTTGCTCTTTCTCATTAGCCTGTTCTGCTTTTTAATGTATTTTAAATGGATGGGGCTTTTTTTTTTCTGGTATACCGATACATTTTATTTTGCTTATTTTATATGGTTGGCAGTGGAGTCCATATTGCTTATGTTTTGCTAAAATCTCACTTCTCCCATCTGTCTCCAACCTGCCACAAGAGTTGATGCCTGAATTTTGGCTACTTTCCTGCCAGTGGCTGAGCCACTCCTGGGACATGTTCTCACTCACAACAGGCATCTCCAGTTTTTCTTCTTAGGCCAGACTAAGGTACATCTACTCTTCAGTCCACAAATGCAACTGTCAGCGGGCTGGTATACTGAAATCTCCTTGCACAACTGGTTAGCTGGGTGTGATCTCATCTGCCCAGAACTCAGTGCACTGCAGTTCTGGGTGGGTTTTGTTGCTTGCACTGAATTCCTGCACTGCCACCCTATTCTCAATAACTGGTTTAAAGCTAACACAAGACAGCGTACCCTGCAGTTTGACTACAGCAGACAGATCCCTAGTGAGAGCAAGCTGAGAGCAATCAGATCACTAAATAATATTTTGCTGTTGTAGAATGACTGGACCAGCAAAGCCGGAGAGTTAGCAATTGATGAGCTGCTGTAACCTGAGTGCTGTATTCCTCCTGCACCACCAGCTCAAGTGTCAGCAGTGCTCCAGCTTTTAACCTCCTCCCAGCCCTGCTGCTCAGCCAGCTAACCCAAATACCATTTCATTCCAGCGAGCAATTTATGTCTGTGGACATGAGTCAGATTAAGAGATGAGATTCGTGTGTCTGACCAACCTGGCAGGGAAGATGACACTAACACACCCTTTTGCACTGAAAATGAAGATGATATGTTAACATTCTTGCATTGCAACTTGTGATGTAGTGGCATATAATGATCAAAGGCCCCAGAGACAGCTTTGAAACAACAAGGGCCTGACAGGTGCCTGTCATCTGTGAGTCCGTTACATTAGCATATAATATGTACAACCACAGCCTTAAATACACAGTCAAGGCAGTTGTGCTAAAAAACTTTGACTTTCTCCAGGAAAAAAAAAAATTAAAATTGTCTTTTCTTGATTTTTGCTTTAATTTAACCGAGTTTAAAACAGCAAAGATAAACGTTGCTCATCACACAGATAATAGCAAAATATTACTGTTCCTACCATTCCATGAAACAGTTTGTGCAAGTCTCAGAAATGGCAGGGATAGCAAAGGCTCAGGCTGAGTGAGGACAGTGAACACGTGTAAAAGCCTCCTGACTTCCCTTCCATTTATTTTCTTTCAAATTTTTGCACCTTCGCTCTTTATAGGGATAGATATGATTTAATTGCTCTTAGGGCACAACATAGCACTCACAGTTCTTTCCCAGTTGCCACATTTCTACCTGACCCCAAGCTGAAACATGTTAAAATTATGATTACAACAAAATCAGAATGCTTTCAGAGTAAAATGGAAAATGTTGTTGTTACCAACCTTAATTTCCCTGTCAGATAAGCAGCTGCTGTATATGAAATCACAAATGTTTGAAAAGCCGGCACTGTGAGAGTTTGCACTGCTGTAGTTATGTTTTAGCAATAAAGACTTTATCCAGCTGTAACACTTATTATTCCACAACAAGACTTATCATTTATTAACAAAAGAAAAACCAAGTTAATAGGTTTATTTCACAGCAGAATAGATTTAGCACAGCACACATCTTTGGTTAAAACAGTCACATGGAAGATGAAGAGCAGCTGTTTTGGGGATTTTTGTTTACCGTCTTGGCCATGATCATACAGATGCTCTTCCAACTGCTACAGACATGGGAGATGTCCTAGAAATTTCAGCACACTGTGTGTCTGCACAGAGAGAAGATCCAGGTCCTGAAGCTATGTCTATGCTGCAGGCCAGAGGCAGGTTTGCAGCACGTCCATACAGATCTGGGCTAGTTTTGTCCTACAGAGTGTGACAACAGTAATATCATGGCAGTTGCTGTGATAACATTTTACTGTGTGAACTGCAAAACAGGATGGTGGTATTATACAACCTTTTGAAAATGGGGACTGGGAGGGCTGTGGGACTACAGATGACATCGCCTCTCTCTCCCCTCATTGAACACCAACTGCCCTGTCAGGATGAATGTGCTGGCAGTGTGGGACCTGTATTTTGGGGACTTTATCCCCTGGAAGAGGACACAAGCATGAAGTGGTGCTGGAAGACTGAGCCTTACTCTCCCTGGGCACAAGACTACCTGCCTACACTCAACTTCTACCTCATCCAGCTTCTCCTAGGACACAGACTTTCCCTGTAAGTATGGCATTTCTGATCCAGTAGACTGATTTTGCCAGAATTCAGCACAAGCTGAAAGCAGACCTCTTCAGCCTTCCTTCATCTCTTCTTCTCCCAGGACCCACCAACCTTGCCAGGTTCATACATGGGAGAGTTCTCTCTTTACAGGGGCAGAAGAGGGCCGGGCTGGGGCAGGGCTCGGTGTTACTGAATAGGACAAAAGAAAAATACTACAAAGGACACAGTAATGTCACCCCCCAGTAATTGCTATTGCTTCGTATCAACCTTATTTAGATTCATGACACTTCCAACAGCACTAGGGCATCACCCATCGAGACGTGGACATTTAAGCTGCAGAACCACATCTGTGATTCTAAAGGAAGTTAAAGCTCCCATCCATATAGCACAGTAATTAATCTAAAACTAATTTAGGTACATCTCTACCTGTTTTGCTCAAAATTGCAACTGTAGCCTCAGCATACCTTACTTCTCCACATCTAGCACATTCTCTCATTATTTTTGCTTTAAAGAGTGGGACAAAACAGTATCAAAATACTAAGCTTTCTTCAAACTCCCCTAACTTGCATGCTACTCCCTCTGAATGTTGCAGACATCATCACCTCCAGAAATGAACATTAACCTCTGTAGGCTCAGAGCACAAACACTGATGCAACCCATATTTGCTTGGAAGGATAAGAAATCTTGATCCTTTCTAAGATCTGAAGTCATTATTGTGTCAGGCACTCTAAAAGACACTCCATCAGAAATAGCTGGAATTGTATTCATTATTTTGCCTCTCTGTAATTAATCTCTGCATTCACATTTGAAGTAAAACTTTTTAGAGGGAGATGGATTTAGGAGTCTGGAAAACTGGGTTTACATCCAGTTACATATTCATTAAAAATACTCCACATATGCGGGTAACTTTACATAGGCTCTAGGTAAATAAAATTAGGCACATAATTTAAAAATCTGCAATTTATATAACAAAGTCCCATTAAATATTATCTAAATCTAAACAAATAACAGTGGCCTAAATTTCATCATACCTTCAGTCTGACAATCTGAAAGAATTGTGTAGACATTATTTAGGCTTCAAAACACCTCTAATACCTATAAACTCCATTTTGCAGCTGTGGAAACTATAACACAGCGTGGTGAAGCAACACAAACCAGGAACCAAAAAATGTCAAGTCATAAGGGAGAAGCTTTTAATACAGTCAGTGTTAATGCAGGATGGCACCTTCAGGCCCTTTGCATCTTAGGATCAGTAGTTAATGGACAGGCAAGGGAACACTAAGCCACACTCACCACATTTCCAGCACAATGCTAAACCTGTTAATGTTCTCTTCTCTTTTGGCTGTAACTTTGGTTGCAGTTCTCTTCCATGCCAGCAGACACGTCTGCATGCACGTTACAGCCTCTGTTCTGCAGATATTCACTACAAGGTATAGTGCATGTTCCTAGAAAGTCAGTTATCACTACGGTGTCAGCAGGACTTCCCCAACCACACCTATCAGAAAATGCTCACAGAGATGAGCCAAGTCCAGGCCTTACTAGCTCCACTGCAACCCCAACCATCCTAATGGGATCACAGCAGTGAGAGAGATTCCCTTTATCCATTAGCGAGAAAACAACAGCAAACACAGCAGCTTGGCCAATGCAGTAGCAACAACCTGAGTTAGATGGGTTTTCCACATACAAAGCTCCCTGCCTGGCTGCTGGATTCTCTCTGATTGCCAGCAGAGGACTTGGAAGGCATTTTGCTGAGGAGATCAAAGACAGGCTTTTAAAGCTCAGCACGTAGGATCTACCAACTGGAAGTGTAGCAGACAGCATCTGGCCTCAGACCAATCTCAGCTGAAAACAGTTCAAACTAGTCTAATGGGGAGGCAGACATTAGTTAGGCATTAGTATAAGCACTCAGCAGATTACCTGCCCTTTTTTCTGGTCCAAATAAAAGTGTAAATGAAGTAGCTGAGAGACCTAGCAAGGGAAAAAAAGAGAGCCATTGTGGCAACAGACAAAAAAGCTTTGAGAATATTATGTCTGTTTGAAGCATAAGTAATCGAGGCGAGATATGAGCATGACACGAGGCACCATGTGCAGGGACTCACATACACATAAAAAGCAGGGACACCCACCTGTGGACTACACCTTTGAACGTAGGTTCTCCCTTCCTCAGCTTTCCCAGAGAGATGGAGAAACCACTCCATAACCCCAGCTGACAAGGTGTTACCTAGCAAGTGTGTTTAAAGAGTAAAGCAGATTATAAACACAACGGACTGCCACTCCACTCGTTGCACTTGATTGATGCTTCCCACTGGAGAAACCCTCAGTGTCTGGCCACCTCTGTAATCCAGACTTAAGATCATTATGAACAGAGTGCATTTATGACCAATTTAGGCACAGGATTAGGTGAGGGACACGTGGCAGTCATTTTAGTCCTTGTGACTGACAGGGCTTCTGAGAAGTAGGGTAACACTGGGGAATTACTCACACCAATGAGTGGGAGTTTGTACGCAGAAGCGCTATCATGTCTGGCTGCAGGCAGGCCCTGCTAAGAGCAAAACCATCGGCTTTATTCTCTGAGGACAGCCCTGAGTGAAGGAGGAAATTGCTTCTGCTACCAAATGAACACAAATATCCTACAAGCAATATCCTCGTGGCCAGAGCCTGCGTGCCGTGCCTAGCCTGGAATAGGTTTGGAGGTGTCAGATGGTACTAAAGACTCAAAGGGAAACCGGTTGACATTAATGTTGATGGTGGAAACTTAATTTCATCTACCCTTTTTGTTTGTGCAGTTCATTTAGTCTCCTGGGAACTGTTTGTTATTGTCTCTCCCAATCTGGTCTCTCTGTATAAATTTATTGTTTGGTTCTGCTGTCCTGTGCATTCACTGGCTATTGTCTGCTTCTTGCCAACAAGAGAGATGAACTGGAAACAGCTTACCTGGATTGTAGCTCAAAGAGCATTGGATTTTTATTGATTTGGGAAAAAAAGATTCTCAAAGACTTAAGAATGAAAGATACATCACACCATGACAGGAACAGTAAATGAAATAGATATATGTATATATACATATATGTTTCAAGAAAGCTGTTTGTTGTTCCTCTTTATTGGTGTAACATAGCTTGGCCACGAGGTCTTTGATTTTGGATCCCAAATAGAAAGCCTTTAAAGGAAGCCACTTTCAAAAGCAGCACGCTCAGCCCTTCTGAGATAACACTAATGAGTCCCCAAAGGTTTCTCAAACCTCATATTCTAAACCACTCCTGACACCCACAACTCTTGGCCATGTCACAGACCAGGGCACACAGGGTGGCCATTACAGATACGCTAAGCAGATTGGAAAGAACTGTTTGCTGATACATTTGGTAAGCAAAGAAACAACCTCCCTCTAAGCAGTGGGATCTCATCTTTATCCAGCCTCTTAAAGGGAAGGATGCTCCCCACTCCTTGCCTCCCTCTTGCCCAATTCAAGTAAACGTGCAGTTCTCCACTGTCTTGCCACAAAAGGCAGCACCTCTCTCCCACACAAGTTTTTGCTCCAAACTCCCACAATAAATAGGTCTCAATTCTTATGGAAAATTAGGGATCTAAATATTGATCTAAAATATGAATCTGGCTATACCAGCCAGATACTAGAAATGAATTAAAAGGTGCTGTTTGACTAGAGAGGATAAAATCTAAGTGATCACCAGCATTTTGCATCGGGAAACTTCACAATAAATTTCTTGGGCTAAGGGACCCTAAACTAGCAGAGCTGCGACTCCCCAGGGGGTGGTGAGCCCAAGGGTGGAAATGGAAGTGAGGTTGCTGGATCAGACAGGTGGTTGCAAGCTGAAGCATTTTGGGAACTGCTGACACTGCACTCCTGAGCATTTTGGAGGTAGATGAGCATAATGAAACCCTCCCGCCTTCGTCTGCATGCCTGGTCCTTTTAACCGATAGACCAGAGTGATTTCTAGCTCTGGCAGGACCGCAAGCCGTATTTCCCCACGCATGAAAGGCTCCTGGACTGTTTCTCAGACTTATTAGGCACAAACAGGCTTTTCATCGACACCAGTCATGCGTGCCTGCTCCCTCCACCTCATTTATCATCTTCTGCCAAGGCACTGTGCCCACTGCCAGCAGCATGCTGTGCCCCACTCCCTTTCCTAAAGGCAAGCTGTATCTAGGGGCACACACCAGATGCTGTGCAGTCTCTGCCCTACACACAGGAGGGCAGAAGAAGGGCGGAGGAAGGTACATTATCAGAAACCTCTGGGTTACAATGATCTGTTTGGCTGTGGGATGTTTTCTGCAGGTCTCCTTTGAAGAGCAGAGTTGAGGCTGCAGCTTGGGGATGGTTAAGTGGTTGGGAGCAGGATTTGTTTGCCTCCAAGCCATCGGTACCTCTCCTCACTGCAGCCATGCACGTGTCCCAGCGCTGACTGGTGCCAATGAAAAGCCCTCTTATGCCCAGGCCTCCATCTGATCGCTCTGCTGCCTGGCCAAGGCCTTGCGCCTGCCCCACTACTGGGGCTGTAACAGCCTTGCTGCTGCTCCCCTTCTGCTGTGGCCCAAAAGCAGGTTCCTCTTCTGCTTCTTCTCTCCTCCCCCAAGGTATGCTGTAAAGAAGGTGGTGGCGAGGGCCCTTGAGGAGCGGGAATGGCTGAACTAGTTGGAACTAACTGAAAACATGCAAAGAGCAGCAGCATTAACTGCCTGGTCATCTAATCCTGGCATTTAGGACTGACCCACTTGAAGTCACAGCGTGTGACAGAATGACCAAGCAATGAGGACAGGATTACAGAGCCCCAAATGAGATTATGCTTCTTGGTGGGGGCACAAGCTGCTGGGGGCAGGGAAAAGATCTGTGTTGAGCACCTAGCAGGGGTAATACGACCAGATATCCTGTGCTCTGTCTGCTTAGAGAGCATCAAAAATAGACTCTCTGGAGAGAGAGAAAACACTCAAGCGAGCCAGCTGGGCAGACTCGGAGTCCTTGGGACACTGACAGCTCCTCAGCCCGTAAAATGAATTGGCACAGGTTTGTGCCAGTGTTAGCCCAACTGTGGCTTCAAAACAAAATAGAGCAAGGGAAGGGAGCCGCAGGAAGGGGAAAGGGAGACAAGCCTGCAGTTGGCTAACTAAAACTGTAGGCTATTTAAGATAGAAAGTGGAAAGGGCCAGGGGATCAGAGATAAGGAAGGCGTGGCTGTGTACAGCTTGCGGCATTTTAGCCTGTGGTAAATATATAAGTAGCAGCAGCCTGTCACACACAAATGGCAACCAGAGAGTCAGCCACATTGTGCTGCACTGTTAGATAAAAAGAATGAAGAGATGGGCCTTGCCTAAATATCTTATCACGAAAGACAAAAGATCATGATGGATCCTGTGGGAGCACAGGAAGATCAGTTACCACAGCTCAGAGAGAAAGGTAAGGACAGGGCTAGGCACAGTGGGAGATATGTCTCCAAGTACAGAAGCCTTTAGATTTAAGCTATATACTGAAAACAGGTCTGTACAGACTACACTTTCAACCCAGCAGCTCACTGTATTTGCCACAAGAAGCTGCTGATTTGCAAAGTCTGCAGGTCCATTTCTTAATACTAAAGCATCTTTTCCTCACCCATTAATCCAAGAAAAGCAGGAAATAAGACAGATCCTCACACTCACTTGTTGGTAAAAGCCACAGTTTTCCATGGGAGCTGCAGGAGCTCTGCACTTCTGAATATATCGTCATCTCTATAGGATCCAATTTTAACAATATCTGTTAAAGGCTGAAACCAAATGAACCTGTCCAGGGCTCACTTTCCCATCTATACTCAGAGGCTAGCTGGATACCCTTAAACCTTGGCATTGGGAAAGCCAGGATAAGCCTTAGAAATAGTATTCTTTTTCCTCCCTCCCTGGAAACTTCCCCTTAAGGGCAGCACCACACTGTTGCCTGGCACCTTTCAGCTCAAAGTGTTTTCCAGATAACTGGTCATTTAAACTTCTCTCAAGCAGGATAATCTAGTTCTGGTAAACCTTCTCAAGTGAGCAAGTAAGGGTGTTGCCATTCATTTAACAGCAGCTGAAAACCAGAGCACCAGAATCTGCTACCACCTGTACCTGCTCGTATCACTCCTCTCTTGGAAACAGCTCCCTTCACAGCAGCAGGCACAGCTAAATGGAGACATGTCCACACTCGACCCATCACACTTCTCATCCTGAATACCCAAGGAACCCCAGCTTGGCACCTCTGTACTCCAACACATCAGGCTGTAAATCACAGACATTCAACTCTCCCTGCCTGAAAGACAGCAAATTCAGTCTAAGAAGGGCAACGAACAGAAGCTTTAATCATTCCTGACTATTCCACCATGAATAGCGTAAATGTATTACAGGTGTGGTCCTGTGAGCAGCAGCAGAGATAATCTGTCTGCTTCCCATGACCAGGAAGGAAAGATCTCATTTTCTTTTCCTCCAGCCATACTCCTCACAATGCAGTTCTGTCCTTGTGCTGGCTCAGGCACTTGAGACACATTTCTGGACTCAAATAACAGTATTCATTTTCTTTCTCTTTCTAGATTAGCTTTCTGATAGATTAGAGATAAACTGAGGAGGTCCAAAGAGCTGGTGCACGGGAACTCACTGGGAGGAGGAACGTTACCACATTTTGGAAGGGGAGAGCTGTCAGATCAGCTCGCCCTGTCTCTTGGATCTGCACCCTGAGGCATACAGAAGCAAGCAACTTGCTGGAGGCCACATGCTGAAGTGGTGAAGGAAGCCAGGAGTCCTATTTTTCCTCACATACTCAGAGTAATTTAAATGTCAAGGCTGAAGCAAAGACATGAACAGTCCTTGCTTTGTTACAAAAATCAGTCAGTCAGGCTGAGAGAGTTGGGCTTGTTCAGCCTGAAGAAGAGAAGGCTGTGGGTAGACCTGATTGCAGCCTTTCAGTTCTTAAAGGGGGCCTATAGGAAAGACAGGGACAATCTTTTTAGTAGGGCCAGCTGTGACAGGACAAGGGGTAATGGTTTTAAACTAAACCAGGGTAGGTTTAGAATGGATATAAGGAAGAGATTCTTTACAGTGAGGGTGGTGAAACACTGGAATGGGTTGCCAAGGGAGGTAGTGGAGGCCCCATCCATGGAAACATTCAAGACCAGGTTGGACGGGGCTCTGAGCAACCTGATCTAGTTAAAGATGTCCCTGCTCATTGCAGGGGGGTTGGACTGGATGGCCTCTAAAAGTCCCTTCCAACCCAAAACATTCTATGATTCTAATTAACCAATCCAATAACACCTCCAATAACCAATCCTCCACCTCCCCAAAGTACCATGCAGGAAAGACTCTTCTGGCCCATTTACAGGTTGCAATATCTTAACTGTTTTCTCTCAAGTTAGGCTGACAGATGTGCCATATACCAATGCCACACAAGTCACAGAGTTGCTTTCTTCCAGCACTGAATGGGGAGCTTCATTAACTCATACAAAACAATGGCTTCCTTGTACCCTGCAGACTCTTCTCCCTTCCACCCTGCTTCCCGCTGCCACTGGAGCCACATTTCAAGGCAGTGAGATTCTTAAGAAAAACAACAGAAAAGCAGAACAGTGGGAAGAAAAACCGTGGTGCTGACTCTTCATTCGGGTTGAAGAGCTGCTGAGGACACTGTTGCAGTCCTGAGATGAACAGGTTGGCACTGTGGGTCTGGGCTACTGTTGAGCTTCTCATATTCAGGAGATACCCAAACAGGAGTCAGAGTTTCTTCAGGATTCACACATAGCTTCTCACTCTGTTCTAAAAACAGCTCTAGCACAGAGTCTGCAGCACCCTGTAGGAAGGGGCTCAGAGCAAAGGCAGTCTGCAAAACAGGCATTCCCAAAACCCATTTATGTCCATGGTGCAACTTCTTCAGGCTTACACAGCAGCAGCAAAAGTGTTAAATGTCATGAAGGCATCACAGAAATGTTTCATTGGGCACATAACACACAGCTTTGCCCTAGCTCCACGTGTATCCCAGGTTTCAGTCCAGGTTTGGATTAGCCAGCAGTCCCTGGGTTAGCAAAGCCTCTCCACTGAAAAGCAACAATTCAGGAAAAGACCTGGGCCAGACCTGACAGCCACAGTCTGCACAATGCTTGGCAGGGAAAAGGGAAGCAATTTTTGGCTTTTCTTTGAACAGGATATAGCTTTTGCATATCCTTGTGATCCTACATGTGCATGGCATATCCCAGGTGCTCTCCACTTCTATAGTACCTTGCGTTCAACATGCTTCATAGACTTTATGGTATTTGGCCTCCTAAGGACGCACTATGCATTTTTACAGAAAGCAGGACCAAGACATACTAAAATGATGTGCCTGAGGTCATGTGAAAAGTATTTGTCAGGGGAAAATAATTTCCTTCAACTCCCATTCACATGCTTTTCCTAATACCAGTACCCACCTTGCCCATATGTTTCTCTAGTATCCTTTTGCAAGAGGCATTGTATCTGACTGCATGAAAGCCGTAGCTTTTATACAAATGTTGCCCCCAAAACAGAAGGGTATAGTTGCTGTGCACATCTACCCTAACACCAAGATAATCCATGGCCAGAAAGGAGGACCACAAAATGCAGTTATCAATTCCTTGCAGGTTTTATGCAAGAAAATGAACAGAGATAACAGCTATTTTCTGTGTCTGGCTCTAAGCCAGGAACAGAGTATAGGATACACCTCCTCAGATAGAATCATGGAATCATTTAGGTTGGAAAAGACCTTTAAGATCATCAAGTCCAACCAAGATGAAACCATTCATCCAACATCTACTCATTCCCTAAAAGCAATTAATGCCACTTCCCATTCACTCTTACATAAGCATGTCTCCAGAGAATTGTACACAACGAATGTTACGTATAAGCCTTGAAGACAAACTTCTAGCCTAAATGAACTTCAGGTCATATCTGCTTTCTGTTGGTACCCAAATTATAGGTCACTAGATCCTCCAAGACTTCTCAACAATTCAGCACAACTGACAAACTGGGCTGAAAATGGCCTTTCCCTTTACTGCAGAAGGTGCTGGCCAAACAAAGTGTTTCCCTGTCAGGGCGTTAACTGTGTTCACCTAACGTCAGCATCTTTCAAGGGAAGCATGCTCCAATTTTGACAGTGAAAATGAAGAGCACAGGCTGTGATGAACAGCATTGCTAGCTTTCTCACCTGGGTACTGAATGTTATGGAAAACAGAAAATTCAACAGAGGCCTGAGGCAGACCCTTGTCCTAATCCTGCATTTCCTACAGGTTCAGTAGGCACCGCACTTACTGTCTTCATCCCAAGAGGCACCTGTGTGGCTGGTGAATGGGAGATTGGGAGGCATGATCAAAAATCAGTGAGCGAATCCCTACCTTCATCCTCTCTCCCCCTCCACACTATGGCTGCTGTTGGCGATGGATGCAGATGAAATACTAATGAGTCACCACCCTGACCCACACCTTTACCTTTGAAGCTGCCATGACAGCTGCTGTGGCTGCGACGTTCAGCCCCCGCTTCCCAAAGTGCACAAGGGCATCGTAGCTTCGGTCTTTTGCCTGGACGAGGCAGTCATCAATCTCCTGTCACAGCAGACAACAAAACAAACAAAAAAAAAAAGCACAAGAAGGACAAGTTCAGAGTGCTCCCAGCCTCAGACTCATGGGAGGGCCAGGTCATCTTTTATGGAGGCAGATGTCCTCCATTTCCTCCACCTTGGCTGGAGAGAAGGTCACAGCCAACATTTGCAAAGAGGAAAGGTTTGCAGGGTAACAGTAACTCCCACTGCAGGCTTTGGGAACTCTCTATTCTGCAAATGGAAGATTGGGACCCAAAGCTGGGATACACTTGCACAGCACAATCACCAGCAATAGGTCCCTGAAGCAAGACAGACTCATCCACCTGGGCAGAATGGAGCAGGGTGTGTCAGGAGCCATTTGCAATCTATGGACTCTAAATACAAACTGGATTGCACCATAGTTAAAAAGAATCATATTATGACACTGGGCAGCTGCAGCTGTACTGCCCTGGGTTCAGGATGGGTGGTCTCAGAAGCATCCGAGATCTCTCTGCACATCACTGCAGTGTCCAGCTTCAACATGCCCATGGAATTGGCAGGTCCAGAGCTTCTGGACTTTCATGCTGCTCAGTATACAGTAAAATGGTTATGAAAGTTCCTGCCCTCACCATCCCTCCCTCAAGACACAGGGGTCTGGATGATAATGGATGACAGTGACTTCTAGTACTCAGCTACTGGATGTGCTGGATTAGTAGGGACTGGAGGCTGCGAGAAGCTTCTGGCTGTTTAGTGATTCCCTCCCTATTCCTAGTAGATAAGAGGTGGCAACCCAAAATGCACAAGCACTACTTGTGAGAAGCGTAAGCAGAAGTTCTGAGGAAGCAGAGAGACAGGGGACTGATCCCCATTGTTCCTGGCCAGGACTGAGATACAACTGTTCATGCACTGCATGTGGCTAAGCAGAGTTCTTTCACTTCCATTGTTGCCAACGAGGGGAACAGTTATTCACTTCTTAGTAATCTGCATGTTGATATGCAACTGATAGCTATTCTTGGCCCATGCATCCACATGAGCCAAATGGATCTGCCTGACAACTTCCCATTCACAGCCACAGGAAACCCCTAGGCAGGCAAATGATCCAAGCTGTCCTGTACAACCCCATCCCCAACAAAATTAGCATCATGAATTTGAGCAAGACATTTCTCAACCCAGGACCTCAACCTGTTACATGCCTTACTTCAGCATGCTACATCTCCCAGCCAGGCAAGTGCTTGCTAAGCCCCTTTCAGACAGGCTTGGCTATTTGTCTCATTGCTGCACAATGTTTTAGGCAGAGCTGGGAACAAAGTTAAGGAGCTCTGGCTGCCAGACCCTGTTTCTCTAATCGTTATATCCGGCCACAACATAGCACTCCAGCTATATTCCACCAGTAAGTGCAAAGCAGCTCAGAAGGTATTTTTAGCCCCTCCCTCCCAGCTTCTCAAGTGCACAAAGATGAGTTAATATGTGTGAGTGCGCTGAACAGATGCCAGTATTGAAAAACACAATAACCACAAAGAACAAAAACACCAACCAAAAGTAGATGATCAAAACGATAGAGGGAGAGAATCAGCAACTCCCAGTCCCTCAATGAAAATGAGCGATACAAAGGCTGGAGTGAACACACTGCAGATCTGCTCCACCCAGAGAGGACCTGGGCACCTGTGATTACCTTTTCTTTTGAAGACAGCGTTGGATGAACAAATTTCCTGTACAGGAGGCTGGAGCCTTTTGTGTACGGAGACAGCAGCCAAGCTACAAAAGCTATTTTGAGTTCATAGTAGAATGGAAACCTAGAAGAAAAAGAGCTGTTAGTGTCTGTCCCAATTTAACCACTGCCCTTAATTAGAGATGTTCAGCACAGGAAGGAACTGGCCAGTCTAGCTTAGGACAGCTTTTGCTTACTGAAGAATCCAAAGACCAAAACACATTCACTCACCTTTGCACACATCTCAACTGGGCATGTGGGTAAATTGTTACTTGGGTATCAGGGCCATTATTCAATGGTCTGGAAGAGACTCTCCTGTGTGGTGAGAGGAGCTTTCTACACACAAAGAGCACAGATGCTGCCTTCATAGCATCCCCAGTCATTATGAGGGAGCAAAGAGCAAACCAGCAAATCAGTATTTCATTGATATATTTATGTACCTTTCACCTCTCTGCCTTTCTGCTTTTAAGATAACACTTACCTGACTGCAACTGAAATACAAGAACCTTTGTTGTCCAAGCAACATGCACCATAAAGGTACAGATCCACACTTTGGCTTTCAGGTAGCACTGCAAAACATGCAAGACACTAACAACAGGACATGCTTTAGCTGTAACAACAAGCCAGGCACTTCTTGATATTAGATTACCCAGACTCTTTTTCTAGAGGACAAAGTCTAGAGCTCAAGGCTGGCCAGCTAGCAGCATCCTCATGTGGGCAGGCATGTTGCTGCCAGCAGTGTGACGAACCAACGTCACCCTTTGTAGGCAGGGGCAAGTGAGAGCAGCAGAGAGACCCTCTGATGGCTGTGCACCAGCCCAGCTGAACCCAGACAGACCCCTGCTGTGCTAGCACAGTGCTGTAACCGAGCCAGCTGGGCCATGCAGCATCCAGGTCTGACCCAATGGGCTTCTGTGATGCTTTAGCCTGAGCATGGATTTGCCAGGTTGGTCTTCCACCTCACTGAGGATCTCTACAGCATACTTGATTTCACAGGTTGGACAAGACTTCTGTCATTCCTCTCAAGAGACCCACATAATACAGCCACCAAAAAAACAAAGCTCCAGATGAACACAGTGGAGGTAGATCTGCATGCAAATTAGATAGAGAGACAATAACGTCTTATCTCCTTCTCAACAGCTCTGACATATTGCTAAGTACCCCCGATTCCCTTTGACTGGAGGACTCACTAGAGGCATGCAGTGCAGGAACAGGCTTTAGGTGAGGGCCATGCACTACAGCTAAATTTTCATCCTGAAGTCTACTGATCTCACTGGTCTCCACTAGAAAGGTCTTACTAAAAAGGGCAACCAAGCAACAAACATTTCCAGACCTGAGCATCCAAATTTAAGGAACCAAATCTGATAATTGGGCATTTATGTGCTCTCACGCTCACAGAGGTTACCAGCAATCCTCCCGCTGGCACCAGACAGCCCACATCAGTATGGACTGTCACTGTCCTCCATCAAACCATAAACTCAGCCTAACCAGGAGCAGGCCTGGCAAAGCGTCCCTCACACAACCACTCACACAGCAACCTACAAACAAAGTCCTGTGCTGCAGGGCTGTTTCTGCCTGATCCCTAGAGTCTGTGTATTTACTGTAGGTCACAGGTAGGTTAAGTCTAGAACTATGCCTGCAGCTAAAGCTAAAGCTACTGTTGTTTATGTGCTGATCTCTGCAAGCATCCAACTTGACAATCAGCTGCGCCTCTCTGACATGCAGGGGACTGAACATCCTGTAATGATTTCTCGCTAATGAGATATCGCTGAGCAGTTCCATCCTTTTTCTTGCTTTTCCTATGACAGCACCGAGAAGGGAAGCATGGCTCCTCCAGACAAAACACCTCTGTGCACCTGAAGCTGCTAACCCTGTGTTCAGGAAGCAGTGTACCTTTGTGCCCCTTTTTTTCCCTAGTAAACATTTCCATTTTATTTCCATCTCATGCCAAAGATCCTCTCCCATCTGGTGCTCACCAGCAAAGAAAGATATCCGTGAATGTCTCTGCTGTCGTGAAGAGTGCGAATATGATCCAGTACATCATCCATTTGACCTGGTAAACAAAAACAGGAGCCAGGTCATTTTTCCCCAGGGGCCTCAAACTATCTCTTACAGGCACAAGTGCACAGAATAACTCTCACAGAAAAAAGGGTTCTTCCTCCCCTCCCCCATGTATTTAACAATTACTTGAAGCTGCCAGAGCTCACCCCACCTCAGCACATAACATACAACAGATTTCCATACAAACCCTTGGAAAGGAAGATTGTGGCCTTTAGGATTGGTCTGATTAAATGGGGAGCAGCCTGACTCTGTCCCTACAAAGGAAGCTCCACTGGCCAGCAGCAGACCATAGCCTTATCACAGGACATTAAAAATCTCACTTGGCTCATTTTAACAGCAAAGGTTAATACTAGGGTGTTGGCTAAACTGTAATTAAGACAAAATGTAATTACTTACATAATATCTACAGCCTGTAGAAACTAGGCAGGAAGAGATAAAGAAGTAACTGCATCCCATGAACCAGGGCTCAGGAGCACAGTCAGCTCACTGCAACTTCCTGAATTAGTGTGCATCACTTGAGTTGCGGTGCCTCCTGACATTCACACCCTGATCCCATTGCAGTGACAAGGGCAAATGCATCAGCTTTAATCCCTGACCTGGGGCTTGGGTAAGAGCATTTTACCTCATGTTGGTAGTGAAAGCATGTGCTGTGCTCTCGCTGTGTTCAACTGTGATAACTCCACTATGGGGTGGACTGCTTGGTGGGTGATTTATGGGTGGTCTCCTTTGCGGTGATAGTGACAGACACAGAAGGAGTCTTTGGGAACTGTGACTTGGTCAGGGCAACTGTAGTATCTTGAGTAATTCAGGAATCTGGGGATTTTTGTCACTAAGGACTAAACTGCATTTAAAAGCACAGCTAAACTATTCTGATATATACAGCATTGGTTCTTCTTGAGCTGGAAAGAACATATTTATCACATGCCATCAGCACCGCCAGTGATTTTTATCAAGTGATGTGGTGCTCCTCTTCTGCGGCACCGTCACCACAGAGATGATGTAAAGAATGATTTCCAAGTACTGGAGATGAGTGAGAAACCTTTTATTCCCACTCAATATCTTTTCCCCATTGTAAAATTGTAAAACTTAAGGTTCAAGCAGCTTTAAGAACCAGTCTCTCCAAAGGAAAAGAGATGGTAAGATGGAAGTTGTTAACTTAACTGAAAACTGTTGGCTAATTAGCTATATTTGAAAATTGAGATCCCTAAGCAGCTTTGCTGGAATGTTAGAAAGCTTAAGGAAGTAAAATCCATGAAAATCCATGAATTACGAGAATTGGACCGTGTTACCTAAGGCTGGGATAATTACAATAGAATAAGGGAAGGCCAGAAAGAAGGCAGTAGAAGAGGTACACCTACACCAGGTGTTGCTCTGGGGAAGGGCGGATGGAGGTGGCAATAAATCTGGATCTCACCATCTCTGAAAAGGCTTGCTCCATCTTCTCCCTGATGCAGTGGGGACAGTACCTGCAGTCTCTCACCACCTCCCTGCAGGTACTGAAATTATTCCCTGAGCACCTGTCACCTAGCTATGTAACTGCTCCCCTGGGATTTATATGTATATTTATATTTAGTGTTACAGCAGCAGAATGGCATTGCCAAATGCCAGAGAGCATTGTCTTCCCAGGGCAGCTTCTGCCAGACTTTTTACATAACTGTGACTCCCTCAAAGCCTCACTACCAGCACAGTTCTGTCAGTTAGATGTTACTGCCAGCAAAACTTTTAAACACAAACCAAGACCTGGGTGGATGGGCTTGGATCAGCCTAAAACACCATTTGTCAAAATTACTATTACCAAGAAAAATAAGAATAATCTACAGCGATATAAGTTTTGACTAATAAATGAATGTTTGTACTGTGTCAAGTGTGAATTACTACTACTTTTTTTTTTTTTTTTTTTTTTTTTAAATCAGACCCTAATGGACACATTGCCACAACTGGTGTGTTAAACTGATAAACAACTAACTGCAGACCAGGTCTTAGATTGGCTGCTCCCACATTTAGGTCACAGCCCCACGTGTCTGATGCGAGTTCCTCTTCTGCAATTGAATTTCCAACAGGAATTGGACCCTTCAACAAAATATTTATTAGAAAAGGACTATGGAAATGTTAAGTATCTGTGGCAGACGCTGCTTGGGGATGCTAGTGCACTTCTTCAGCATTTCCAAGCAAAAGGTATATAAACCTTGAGAAGCATAGCTGTGCAAGGGCTGTAGGGACATTTTGCCTTAAGTATCTGACGTGTTCTGTAACACTTGCGATTCTCAAAATATCCAAAACCATTATCTGAAGGAGGGGAGTGACAAAAAGGAAAAATCTCAGCAGCCACAGTAAGTCCCAGTTTGAGCTTGCACTAAGGACTTAATGGGATAGCCATGTATGCTGTTACCCAGAGGAGAAAACGGGCTTGTTATCCCTAGGATCTTGAGAGGATCAGAGTGTCAGATCTGGAGGCTGAGCCAGGTTCAGTGAAATTAACAGAGCTCCGGTTGTGAAGGGCACTACAAATCCTACAGGACCCCAACAGCATCCAAGTGGTTTTGATTCTCCCGCATTTCACTTTCCCTGATGGCCCCATATGCCTTTAGAAACTGGGGCCTAGGGAATCTTTTTCAGCAAAAGGTTGCCAGACCTGCCTGTAAATAGGTTGCTTCACAAAGAAGGATGTTTCTGTCTGAGGACTCAGTCATATGTGCTTCGAGTTGCCTCCTCTGATCCTTGTTTTGAATGAGCAGCTAAAGCTTCAAGGCTTTTTGAAAAGGCTTTGATTTATTCTGCTCTTCAGAAACAAAGGAAAACATGCAAAGCTCTTGATGCCAAACACCTTTTAAGTCGGCTGTATATAGCTCGCACCACCAGAGAAAAAGCATACTTTTGTCAAAGAGCCCATCAACTCTGCAGAGGAGCCAGAAGCACAAACCCAGATCTCCTTACTTAAGAGTGGCACCTAGCAATCAGCCAGTCCACCTTCAGGCCAGTCTTCCCCTTGCACTGGTTTACAAGCCTTCCCAGAATACAGGCAACACCTTTACCATGTCGTGAGAAGCAATCTTAGAAAACAAGCCTCATTACTCACATATTCTTTGATGTCCTTTGATTTCACGGCTTTGTAAGAATAATATGCAGGGTAAAGAGTGCCAAATATAAGCCTGGAAAAAAACAAACAAAACCCAAATGGATTAAATTGATTTCCTGTCACAGAGAAAGGGTTTTTTTTCCTGTTTCTTGCACTAGCAAAAAGTGTTAGGATTTGATTTAAGCTTGAGTGCACTAAGTATAGCACAGGAGTGCTTTTGCATCACTGAATTCAGAGAAACTATTGCCAGTGACATGAATGAAGAGCAGGGATTCAGGCTGACTTTCTTTCTGCAATGGTTTCCATAGCTATGCTTTATGAGTTACACACAAAACAAAACAAACCAGCCAACCAAAACCCAAAAAAGGCCACCGCACTTTTAAAAGGAAATTAAAAACCTGATTCAAAATAATCTACTGTGACACCAAGAATATAGAAGTATTGCTTTCAGAGGCAGGAAAAAAAATGAGAATCATTTATCTAAAATCCCTTCCACCTCTATTCAATACTCTGAAAAGCTGGCAGAGGATAAAGCAGCATCCAAATTCTACTGGTGCAAGGGTTTGAATGCTGGGGCCTTATCCTACATTAAATCTGCTAAAGGAAGAGTCCTGCACTGTTCAGTAAAGTCGATTTGGGCTCATCAATTTGCCCACCAACATATGCCAACAGGATCAGGCCTAAAAATCCCAGCTCTACTGTTCTTTCAGACAGTTTCCTTTCATTTTCAAGTCTGAAAGGGATGCTGTCAGCTTCAAGATTTCATGTAAGAAAGAAATAAAGATCTGTAAGTTAAAAATAGTACTGAGAAAAAAAAGCCTTGAGAATTTTTTATACTAACTCCTGTCTGCATCACTGCCTGGCTGCTTATTCACTTCGATTATTCCGGACGTAAGCATAGGCTTGTCAAAACCACTTTGCCCTGCCCAGGTTTCAGTCAGTTTTATTCAATGCAGTAGGATGATGCTGCAAAGTCTGAATTTAATAGATTGCAGGGGAATGTTTATTGGTTTGCAACTACCCCTCTTTCCACTGGAGCTTTTGCTTTAAATTGATACAGCTGTTTCCTCTGCTCTTGGGAATGGAAATGATCAATGTTTCAATCCCTAACTGTGGAGCCACATGGACCCGCAGTTGTCTTTTCCATCCTGCCAGTAGCAATTGTGTGCCGTGGGACTCATAATTACAGCTGAGTCCATTATGTGCATAAGACATTAAAAATTAACGCCCTGGGATATGGTGTACCATCGTACTTCCCGTAGTTCAAGAAGGTATTTGTGAAAGAACGAGGTGAGCCAGCACACATCTTGATTTCCAAAGCAGTGACCGAAGACAATTTGCCTTCTATTCATCATGCTTACTGTAGCATAGCTTAGCAAAACCTGAAGCACAATGCAGACTTCAAAAAAGCAGCCACTGAGTGAGGAGATTCAGTATTTTAGAGAGGCTTCACACTGGCTTCAAAAAGCTTTGCTGGAAACAGCTCTGAACCTATTTCACCCACAGGGGCTGTACTATATGCAAGCATTGGACACAAATGCTCAGAAAGATTCTGGGAAACCAAATGCATTTTTGTCCCTTGCAATATCTTAACAAACAGCAACACTGGTTAAAGCAAGGAAGGACACACAGACAATAGCTTGATCCTGTTCTCACTGAAGCTAATAATAAATATTGCCTGAGTTCAATGGTAGCAGGACCTAATCCAAAGAAAGACAGAGCTCACAAAAGGAAGAAAGCTCCACAATATTCAGAAACTAACAGCTGAGCACATGAATAATATTTTTGGCTCTACTTATAAAAAGTACCGCATTTCTGTCCTTTCTTCTTGGCCCAGGCTGGCTGCTATCTCATGCTTTTATTTCCTGCAAATAATCACTGAATGATTGATATTCATTTCCTCAGTTTGTGCTGGTAACAGAAAGTAACTGTATCTTGAAGAAGCAAACAGTTTACAGGATCACTAGAAAAGAATTAGTTGCAGACAATAAACACTTGAAAAAAATTTCTGTGAGGGAAGGAAACTGTGCAATACGTTTGCATATGCAGAGCAAAGGACAGTTAATAAGGTGATGTGCTCTCCCTAAACTGGAGATTGAGAGTTTCACTTATTTGCCTTGTAGCATGTTGTGTGCTTATATGGACATTTATTACTGCTATGGTTTACCAGACTGAAAACTGTTTTAAGGAATGTTGGATCCCAGTCCTGTCACTGCTGTGGCTTACTATGTCGCTTGGAGCCGCTTAATCTTTGGGTACACCCTACAAATATAAGACAAAAGAT